TTCCTCACCTAGCAGTAATCAGCTGCCAATAATTCTTCAACTAAGATTGGGCCTGCTACCCATTTCCACAGTTCTGTGCTGGGTTTTTGTCTGCTTGAGTTTGTATAGGTCTTGTGCATGCTGACACCATTGCTATAGGTTCATATGGGCAAGGTTCTGGGAGCCTGTAGGACTGTATTTCCATGTGGTCAGTTTTAAAGCCAAAATTATTTCCCACGCTAACCTTTCTTCACACTGCAGGTTTATCTTCTTAAAAACCAAATCTGAGTGTCCAGAGAGATGTGCCAGCAGGTTTTCCAGACTTGCTGTCTGCTGGTCTCTGCTGCCTCTCTCCCAGGCTTCTCCTGTTCTCCGCCCAGTGTTTACCTTGCTAATAGACTGCACCGTCACTTCCTGGTCCATCTAGACTCCTTACCTGTGCTCTGAATCTGGTTGTACACACACCCTCACCTAGAATCGTGAGATGTCTCTAAGGGCTCTTGTGCTCCATGAGTTCCCTTTGGTGGTCAACAAAAGGTGGGTATGTTTTGTCCTGATGAAGTTATCTCCTGGAATATTCTAGCATGAATGCAGCAATCCCTCACATGTCATTCTAGCCCTTGCCCAAGTGTTATTTCTACCTGGAAGACTTTGTTCATTCTCTTGGGTAAGCCTAAGGAGTCCTCTTCAATTCTTTTGGAACATCATGTAAATTCTGCCTTTCTAGCATCTTCTCCATGGGTTTCTATCATCTTAGTTCAAGACTTCAAGGACTTTTGAGACCCCAGGGATTTATTTCACATATCTACCAGTATCTAGAACTTGGCATAGAGCACATAGAAATCTGTGTGGACCATTTTCCAAATTGTTTCTAAAAGGTTTGTGAAACACACAAGTGAATGATTTTCAGAAATCTAGAAGAGATCACAGAGGCTGAAGCAATGATGTCAATGTTGTAAATTTCCTTTGAGAAAAGCAGTGCTGTGGTTTATTGAATTTTATGGCAAATGAAAACTTCTGGGGAAGGTTGTCATTTGGCTTTTGACAGCCTTAGTCCCCTCAGGATGCCTCTGACTGGAAAAAAAAAAAAAAAAAAAAAAAAAAGAGGGAGAGAGAGAAAGGGAAATTTCTGGAAGTTCTCATAACACTCACCTATTTCTACCTTCCTGTCTTATGCTGTATTTAAAGCTCCTTCCTGCTTGAGGTCAGACATGATTCCTAAAGGCTACACTTCTAGTGTAAGAGGGATGTTCTTCATTGTGTACATTAACTTTCATTCCAAGACCACTGGTCTGAGAAAGCTTGTTCACAGCCCTGGACTGGAGAGCTGAGACAGACTTGGGGAATGAGTTGTTGACTGGGAATGCTTCTCTGCGATAGACAGAGGAGAGTTTACAGAGCAAGACCCTCAGTGGTGATATAATCCTACAACATCTTGGCTAGCTCAGCAGTGTTCTGGGTGAGGGGGACCCCACCAGCCTTCACTCCTGCCTCATTGGGACACAGGACCCTGGAGAGGGTCTCCTTCTGCATGCAGCTCTATGGCCGGCCGAGGCACCTGAGAGTCTGGCAGCTGGCCACTGTCTACACCCTCAGGCTTTGAAGCTAGTAGGCATGACCTCCCTTGATGAGAGAATTCAGGCCCTTGCATCCTCTTCTCCTCTGCACTTTCTATATCCAAGCTACTATGACCTGTTATTTCTTGCTCCACAATACCTCTCATAGCTGCTTCTGTTCCTGCACACCTTTCCGAAGACTCCCATCTTTTCTCTTTGAGGACTGGGGATCCTCACAGCTGTCCCTTCTTTCCTAACTTCAGCCTTTCCTCTTCTAAAATGTTGCTAGAAAGAGCTTCTAAAATCACAAATCCAGCTTCCATGCTCCCTAGTATCAGCTCTTGAGTGGGATCTGGCAGTGTCAGTGTTGAGACCTAAGCACTGCCATGTGAGTCTAAGGCCCCCTCTCCAGCCTTGTCTGCCCTGTAGCCTACTCCTGCTGCCTCCCACACCGTGGAGCCTGTGTTCAGAGCCTTCACCCAGCCCTGCAAGTCCTCCATGATGCTTTCTCCCTTCTAGCCTGTTTTTTTTTTGTTTGTTTGTTTTTTGTTTTTTTTTTAAATCAAGATTCTCTGCCTGCTGGGAGATCTCCCTACATGTGCATTGACCCCAGATCTGCTGCCAGCCCAAAACTCTGCTCACAGTGATCTCCAGTCTCCTCACAAACAGATTTTCTCATTGAGCAACTATGCTTTCTAAATATCCCTAGAAAAAGGGCCCCACCCTGATAATCCCCCCCCCCCTTTTGTTTAAAACCTTGTCTATAAAAATTGCTCCTTTTGGTGTTTGTTTGTTTGTTTGTTTGAGGCAGGGTCACCCTGTAGTCTCAGCTGGTCTGGACCTTGCTATGTAGACCAGGCTTGCCTTGATCTCACAGAGATCCACCTGCCTCTGCCTCCTGAGTGCTGCGATTAAAGATGTGTGCCACCACACCCTGCTAAAAAATATTCCTTTTAAATTGTGGAGACTGGAGATGAAGGTGGACCAGAATTTCCCATTTTGACCTTCCTATGGAAATCAAGCTGTTAAAATAACTCTGATTTGGGGCAAGATCTCCAAATGGTGGGTGGTAATTTTTAAATGTACAATAATGCTGCTGCTTCTTGAAATATTTCTCTTGATCTCTTCATCTATTCAAAGCACATCTGAGAAAAATTTGTGCCTCAAATGTCAGAATGTAGGATTTGATGTCAGAAGAGACTGCCTCCAACTCCTAAGCCGTGTGGCTATGGGGAGGTTACTGTTCCAAAAACTTCAATTTCCCCATCCGTCTGTGAGATGGGGACAATATAGGTTACTATGAAAATGAGGTGACAAAATGCATGTTTTGTAGGGATTAGAAAAATGCATCATGGGAGTGAAGTCTATGACGTATTACAGAGCATATTTCATGACATAATTAAGATACTATCCAGACTCCAAAGCACAACTTTCCCATGGTTCTTATGCCCTGAGAATTCCACACAGACCATAGGTTAGCTTCCCTTCACCTGTGTTTGTGCATCTGAACTTTGTTATCTAGACTGGAACCATCAACTAGACAGAACATAAGAACAACACACAGAACTTTGGTTTTTATACTACTCATGATGAAGTAAATAAAAGAGATGAATTCATTTTGATATCTTTTTTAACTTAATGGATCAAAACTCTCATTTCAGCATATAATTGGTATAAACAGCTCTTATTGCAGTGCTGAAGGCTGAACCCAGGATCTTGCTCATGCTGTGTAGGCACAATACCACTGACCTGAATCTCCAGCCTGATATGAAAATTATTAGCAAGATATTTTGCAATTATTTTTCCAGATTGAATCTTTGATGTCTGGCCTGTGTTTACCACCAAACACACATCTCAATTTAAACACTAGGTTTCCATCGGAAATACTTTGGTTAATTTTCTTAAATGAATTTTGGAAAAGTAAATTTGCATACCCAAATTATTCTGGACATATTTAGCTTTTCAGTAACTGAATTTGGTATCTTTAAATGTAAATTTGGGCCTGGAGAGATAGGTTAGTATTTAAGAGCACTGGCTGCCCTTGTAGAGGACCTGGGTTTGTTTCGCCACACCCACATGGTAGTTAACAATAGTCTATAGCTCCCGTTCCAAAGGATTTGATGCCCTCTTCTGGCCTCCACAGGCATTGCATGCACATGGTGCACTTACATACATGAAGGCAAAACACTCATGCACATAAAAATAAATAATTTTAAAAATTAAAAAATAAGTGTAAATTAACTGAAGTCAAATAAAATGAAAAAATCTTAGCTCCTCAATTGCTCTAGCTGTTTCTTGTTTTTAGCCCATCTGTCTCTTGTGGCTACAGTACTGGATAAGGAAGTCCTAGAAGCCATCACATCATTTCCGTCTTTTGGGCCTATTTCCATATTCAGTAATAAATGGAAGTTTATTATTTAAAATAGATATGAGCATGGACTGTGGGGTGCTCTGTTTCCATTCAGAGGAGACTGATGGAGCCATTTGTCCTCCTCCCTTGCTCGGTCTCCCTACCTTCTGTGTTCTGAGGTCCTGTGGCACCTCGGCCTAGCCCAGGAACTCCCTAAACAAATGCAGGTAGTGTTGTAGCATTCAACAAATCCCTGACACACATTGAAAATCCTAGGATCTTGGGATTCAAAACGATCTTAACATGTACATGTTCTAAGTGCAGTGCATAAATACTTTTATAATTCTTTGCATGGTGTTGGGGCCAGGCCTCTGTTAAACACCTGGTAACAGATGGATCATTTCATTTTCTTCTGACTCACATGGTTCTCTGTGTTCTTATCTGGTTTTCCTAACTAGGTTGGGAACAAGACCCGCCTTTTACAGCCTGACAGTACCCACACAAAGCTAGACAATCAATAAATTATTAACTGAAGGCCTGCCTGACTGTAAGAATTCAAGGTCACTTGAAATATCAGGGTCACTGTGTTGCACAACTCCAAAGTATATCCATCAGCTTGTTTGTATGGCTGTGCAAGTAGCAGACTCATAAAATTTCCAAGATCTCTGCTGGGCTGTCTTTTTCAGCTAAAAAATAACATTTAAGAAGTTCTTTCTTAGGATGAAATATTTCTTTCCCTTTTCTTTTGATAGAAAATGACTACAAAATAAATTTTCTGTTTCTTTTGGAAGGTATGTTCACCAAGTCTTTAAGAGGTTATTGTGTTTACATTCCTTTTGGAATTTCTCATTAGTGGAATCTTTTTCTGATTTGAGTGACACCTTATATCTCCTAGGTTATAAAGCGCCCCAAAGCAAGATCTATACACAGAAAATTCATATACCAAGGTCACCAAGTGACCAAAGAGACACTTCATGGCTGTATGGTTTCTGTCTGTGAAGTTGAGAAAATTCAGGCGAAGAGGAGGGAGCAAAAAGTTTCTCTTAAGAAAACCCTCTGTTCACTTGAGTGTATTCTAATCTGATGGATGTTTGTTTTCTCTCATGTCCACCCAGGAAACCTAGTGTTGCCTCCCGGAGCTTCTCTCGGAAGTGGGCTCACGCCAGAGGCAGCCAAAGAGCTGGGCCTTCCCAAGGGGATCGCAGTGGCAGCCTCCCTCATTGACGCCCACGCCGGAGGACTAGGTAAACTCTGCTTCTCTACCCACCTGTTCTGTGGGTTCTATGGGCAAACAGAACATTGCCCAGAACCCAGGACACTCCTTTTCTGTTTTTACTTATTCATGGTATAAAACTTTATACAGTTAGGCATTTGTATAGAATTAGAAAACTTTTAAACAAATATAAATTTTATTTATAAATTGTTAATTCCTTTATATACCATCAAATAAAAAATGATCTAGATGGTTCTTTGGCTTACTGAAAATTTGAAAAACATATGTTCACTTCCATCTATCACACGTGATTGCAGAGTACTTTCCTGTACTTGTTTTTACTATTGATACTATAAAACCTTTATAAGCAGAATAGATTTATTTAGTATAATATTTGCTTTTGGTCTAAACCCAATTAGTTCGTTAAAGTCTTGATTTAATCTCCTATATAAATTTCAAATCTGTCCATGAATTTATTTATTCATTTTTCAAACACTCTTTAGCTTCTTACCATATTCTGGAATGGTGCTAGGGAATGGTGTTATAGCTCAGTGGTAAAACTCTTTCTCAGAATGTACATAGCCCTGGATTTAGTCCCCAACATCTTAAAAATAAATATAAATAAATAAATATGAATGAAATAAAATAAAATAAGACCAAGCTTTCTTCCCAAATTTTAATAAGAAAACACATAATGAAACAAAGAATTAGAATTAGAGTTAACTATGGTGATTCTGATCTCTTCTTCCCCTCTACTGCTGTTTACTTTTCTTGGTTATTATGATTCTCAGAATCTCTCAATCTCTCTAGCCTTCCTTTATGATCACATTTGTTAACTGTGGCTTATAATTTACAAGGTGAACGTACAAGGGCATGACACTGAATTTTCAGAATAAACAGTACAGAGTAGAACAGAACAGGGCAGAACATGTCAGGCTGCACCATTCACAGTAAGGGTAAGTACTGTGCTTTGGACCTATGTTTCCAAATGGATCATTTCCATTTCCATATACATATATGTAAATATATACCAAGCTGTGGTTCCAAATCGTTGGCCAAGTATGGTGGCCCACATGTTTCAGCTACTCAGGAGACAGAGGCAGGAGTTCAGGACCAGCTTGAGTGGCATAATAAGACTCTAGTCCTTTACTGCTTTATCTTAATTTATCTTAGTTTCTTTATTTTATAGGCAAGAGCTGTCTCTTTCAATGACTTGTGTGGATTGTGTTTCTAGAGTTCGTTCCCTGGGTTTTCATCTCTGTATCTTGGCACATGTGCTCTCTGCCCAGAAATGATTGGTCCTAGGCTTAGTCTATTTGCTGCTGCTGTATCAGAATACCTGAGACTGGAGGTATAAAGAGTAGAGATTTATTTCTTACAGTTCTGTAGACTGGAAGTTCAAGGTTCAGGGACTCACATCTAGCAAAGGTCTTGCTTTGTTATCCTGTGGCAGAAGGTAGAAGGGCAAGTGAGCACTTGCACATGCGTGAGGAAGGGGGCCGAGCTCAACCTTTTATTGGGAATACATTTCATTAACTCCCATAATACCTTTCAATACTGTCACAGCGGGGGTTGTTGAGGGCCAAAATAATTTCCAGTTGGGTCATTCTCCATTTTGAAGGTTCATAGATGCTTCTTTCTCTGCAGAGCCTTCTGTGGAAAAGTCAGATTTAGAAATCCTCTAAATTGTGCCCCTTTCATCATATTTATTTATTTGAAGAAATGATTACATTGTGTTGTAATTTTATGATTTATCTGTGTTTTCTATCAGACTATTAATTCCTTGAGGACAAGGACATTACATGATTTATCTCATACCCCTAGTGGTTAGCCTTGTGCTGTGTTTTTGTTAGGTGGTTGGTAAACATATTAAATGAGTGAAGTCACAGTAATTTTAGAGTGAAGGTTATTCTGTTTCCTGATATGAAAATTATTAAATAGCATCTTGTCCTTCTGTAAAGCCCATGAACTTACAAAAGCAGGATGGTACTCATCAGTCTGGCATGCCTGTCCCTGTTCCTCTTTCTGTTCTTAGGGTCTGGCTCAGAGAAAGAGTAAACAACCAGTACTACCGGATGGCTCAGTGGGATATGCGGTGTAGCTCTGACCACAGGCAAGGGTGTTTCTCTCAAGTACTTCACTGGGCAGTGCTTCTGGGTGGAATGTCATGATTTGGGATTTTAAGCACAAGCACAGGCGGAACTGGAGGTCTAGACAGACAAGGAGTGACATCCCAGATCACTGGGAAGATCAGAGAAGCTTTCTTCATCACACTTTTGCAATTGTCCCTGGGGTGACAGTCTCAGCCATTCTGCCTCACCCAGGTGATAGACACTTGGCTGGGGCTACTACGTGCTATAAGGAAGAGGGCCATGTACTGGGGAGCCACAGGCACTGTGGTTTTCTTGTCTGCTTCCCTGACCTCCCTAGGGGACGTGTCAAAACACATCTCCTTGGTTCTGCCCAGTACTCACTGTGCCTTGCAAAAGGGGAAACTCCCAGGTGACCTCCACTTGTAATAAGTACAAAGCTCAGTGACAGAAATTTTACTTCTGGAAACTTTGACTTAGGCCATCTGTTCCCAAGTTCATCCTAACAAGTTTCCCACCTATTTTCCAAAAGTAGTTTGAGAGATGGAAAGACCTTAGATTCCTTAGGTGTCTACACTGACTAATAAGGGCACAGGAAGTGAATTCTCACTGCCCATGGGACAGGAAGACTTAAGAATTCAGGTGAGTTTCATCCTTACACTTACCCTGCCTCTTCTCACCTTCACCTTACACCAGTTCAGGACTAGGGTGTCTGGGAAGGCCTGTGACTAAATATTCCTGTTCATTTTCCACCCTTCCTCTGTCCTTTTGGAGTACAGAGAACAGAGGCCTGAAAGGCCTGAAAGACCATCACTGTCCTGACGGTGAATGAACGAAAGATAAGTATCAAATGTCTGCAGACCTGTCTGCTGTGAGTCTGGACATGAGAAGACTGTCAGTGCACAAACCAGACACGTACCATTCCTTCCTGAGAGAAGATTCCCATCATGCTTACTCAGCCTGCGTGGATGTAGCTTCAGAGGATTGCTTAGGGACAGCTGCTCTCCTGAACCGAATGGGCTGCCTGCTGGCACTTCTGTTTCCTATTCCATGAGAAGAGCTAGCAGTGGCCCATGGGTTTGCTCTGAGAGCTAATGATATATGTATATTATATGCTATACATCATATATGTTATGTATATACACATTTTATAATTTTTAAAAAATATTTTTGTTATTCACATACATGTAATATGTTTTCATCAAATTTATCCCTTATTTCCTCCCTTCCAATTCCTCCTCATCCTCCTCACTACTACTTTTCCTTCTCAACTTCATGTTCTCTCTCTCCTCTCTCTCTCTCTCTCTCTCTCATATGCCTGCTGAATCCACTTAGTGCAGCCTGAATGTGCATACATGTGGGACCATCTTCTGGAGTATGGGAAGCCTCTCAGGGCCTGCAAGCCTGAAGAAAACTGAGTGATCACGTGCAAGTCTTCTGCATGCAGTTCCAGCTGCTGTGTGTTCTTGTGTGCAAAGGCACCACCATGTCCTGCAAATACTGTTTCTCTGCAGTCCTCTACACCATTTAAACTTTCCTGCTCTGTTATTCCCCTTTGTCCTTCATACTATCTGTGTTCTATCCCTATTACCTTGAAATTCCACCTCCTATGTCCCCTTACTGATTTCCTGCCTTCTATGGGTACTCTAATTTAAGATTTATTTAAGATTTATTTATTTTCATTCAAGCCTATGTGTGTGAACCTGCATAAATATATGTGTACCATATGCTTGCAGGAGCATCTTAAAGCAAACATTATAGTGCTTGGCACATACTAGGCTCCCAGGAGTGAGGCCTCTCTTTCTGGTTTTCTCACTTCAAAATCAAAATACTTGTTATAAAGTAATAGCTTCATAGATGAAGTTCTCTTCATGAAAGTTATCTCCCTGGTGAGAAGTATTTCCCAGGAAGCTGTCTTCCCTATAGAAGGTACTTGGAACAAGAGCTCCTGAGGTTCTGATTTCTTCTACCTCCTCAGAACATGGCCTGATAGAATGTCCTCCTCCAGCCTTCTATAGCAGAATGCGGGATTCACTACTCTAAGAATGTGTGTAGGTTTAGGTGAGAAACAGCCCTAAGAACTGCTTAGATGATCTCTATGGTGAGAGATCCAGAATGTCAATAAGAGCCCCAGCTTTAAAGGGAAATTGGATGTTGCCCAAGATTTTCATAAACCAGCCCTGATGACCATTGGGATGTTATATTCTGGCCTGATGTGACCTAGGAGGGACCCCATGCTCTGACTAGTAGAAGGGGTCAACCCTCAGCTTTACAGAAATACCCCATGGACTCTCATTCCCAAGAACAGCCTGGGTTGGGAGGATAAAGATCAAAGAAGCAAGTACAACTCAATTCATGTGTTTTCCAGCTCTGAAAACAGAGGAGGAAAGACTTTGTGGGTATGAAAATCAAAGATAAAGGAACATTTTGTTCTTAAGGTACTGGTTAGTGAGTTCTCCAGCAGACAGCCAACAGATAGGAGTAGCTTTGTTTGCACTTCGTGGGGGTGGTTCTGGCCAGGGCTCCTGCTGCTGATATTTTTCTAGCTTATAAAAATAGCATTAACTTTATTCCAGGTCTGTTCTTGGCTCCAGCACCCCAACTGTCCTGAAAGGAAATAACAACCTCATTTCTCTCGCAGGCCCCTCTCCTCTCAGTGGCTCTTCCCTATCAGACAGCCTTCTGATTTAACCATCAAAGCCTAAAGATGGTGCCATCTTCCCCGGGAAGCCTTCCCTGACTCCGGAAACTAAATTAAGACCTCCTTTGTCTTTGTTCCTGCTGAGTGTTTTTAGATTTGCAGGGTTATGTGTCAGCTTGTCCCCAGCAGCTTGTAAATTGCTTTCCACAGAAAAAGCCATTAATATAATCATATATAATGAATGAGTGACTGAGGAAGTGAATGAATCTCTGGTGCTCCTTCCATGGTAGATGCATATTT